TTTTCTTCATTACCCATTTAAGCCGTCTCCAGCCATTATTAATTCTAATGTTTATATAGTTATTTAAAAATTCATATCAACAGAAATTTTAATTATTAAAGAATAACCTATGCATGTTCTCAATGTATTTCAAATTTCATTTTTTGATGAATTTATTTTTAATTACTTGTATTAACTGTGAGATAGCAGTTTTTTTTTTCTTTGAAGTTTAATTTCACATATAGATAACATAACAATGCTAACATAAAAATAACATGCAATCTTTACTTTATAACACTTGTGGGTTTTGAATTTTTTTTGACTCGCCTTATAGTAACCTAAATTTATTTAGATGTGTGAATAATATTATGGCATTGCACCTAACTTATTATTCATATATTTCTGTCTATAACGTGAATAACCAATCAAAAGCTTAGAATGTCCCCCTCTTGGCTTTCCCAGCCATTTTCAAGTAGTTCAATGTCATCTTGTTCTTTCAGTACAAAGTTGAGTCTTTAGTCTGCTTGAAATTTCATATTTTTTAGCCCCCCAATACAGCTTAGTTACTAAGCTTGATAAATTATAGTGGAATTCTATGATATCAATAAATTAATTTATTAATTTTGGTTTTTTTCAAATGTATATATATATATAAAACTAAAAAAATTATTTCGTTTCACATCCTCCACGTGCAAAATTTTTTTAAGGCTTAGCAACCTATGACAAGCAGCAACCAAGTACAAAGGTGGAAACTAGAAGAGATAATTCTTTATATACTCTTCTACGTTTTAAGAAAAATAAGTTTAAGAAGCTATTGTTAATAGTAATAATCTGTATGCATATATATAATATATAGTAATTGAAATGTGACTATTTTACAAAATACTAGTTCACTAAAACACAGCTAAGACAGGTCACTTTGTAAAGACTAAAGGTCAGTTTTGTATTATTGGATACAGTAACATGAGTGCACGTGCACTGACGTCATTGTAACTTCTGTATTGTTAGCCAGGCACAGCTGA